CCATGTAGTCTACAAACTCGATTAGGTCATTCAAAATGTACTATATTTTTAGTGATAAATTCGCACCTCCTTTGTTTCGTACAAAGTTTGATAACAGTCCATAAGAAAGTATTTTACCTGGCACCTGGCACCTGGCACCTCTCAGCGCCCTGTTCTAACATTAATAAGTTCGTTAAAGTTTGCGCCTCAACAAGGGTAACGACCCCTCTGATCTGATGAAAGTATGGAAGGGGGAATAAATAATCTAGTGGTACAAGTGACCTTGTTAGATTTACTTCCTTAATTCCCGCCGTTTTCAAATGACAGTTGACATTTAGTTTTTTAAAGGCAAAGATTGTTATCGTTATGCCAGTGTCTGTTCTTCCAGTTACATTCAATTATAATTTGTAAATAAATACAAGTTATTTTAATAATCTATATAAGTTAGTAGTGTAGCTCTTGTTTTTTAATTATTCAATATATTCTTAGCAAATTGTAGACTATACAACACAATTATTTTAATTAATGTCATAACGCATAACTGAAAGTAATAGCTTTAATGATCGTCATAAAATAAACAAACACTACTAAATAAGGAAAAATTGAGGTTAACTGCAGCTTTTAATTGCTAGTGATTTACTTGAAAGTTATTTTTTTCTTATAAATAATGGAAATATATGTTCACACACAATGCAACATAACGAGAGCTTGTATTTGTTACATATTCATCTATTTATATATATATGAAATTACGATAAAAAATATGCTTGCAAAGAGGTGTTGAAAATATAAATTTTACCGCAATACAGTCCATTATAACCTTAACGGATTCTCCCCGGGATGTGGGAAATTTTCTTTATTTATGACAACACTTAAAAGTGTCCCTCGCGGACACAAATATCCGTCTGGCGGATCCTGCCATATGTCACCTGTTACAAGGAAATATCTCCAGACGTCCTCGCTGACAGATTCGCGCTGTTATGAGCTGGAAGATTTGTTACTCACTCTGGTACCGAGTTTTATTATAGTTTACACGTCACGAAACGTAACTTAAACTTAGCTAGATAAGCAAAATTAATCTTAGCTGTGACTAGATTCCCTTCATTGGCTTGAAATCTTTGTCTATACTAATGTCATAAAGAGGAAAGATTTGTTTTTTTGTAGGTATTGAAATAACTCAAAAACCACTGGGCCAATTTTAAAAATTCTTTCATCATTAGAATGGTTATTTATCTGTGAGTAACATGGGCTATATTTTTAAATTTTACGCGGGCGAAGTCTCGACCAACAGCTAGTTTTAAATGTAAATGTGAATCTAATATTACACTGAGTTTGTAAGTCAATATTTTAAAACTTTAGGTTACTATTTAACAAACCCCAATATTGTAAGAAGGTATAACTGTATACATAGTAATCACAATTTTTGGGGGTGAATAGGGGTAGTTATCTTAACACGGCATCACCCGGAACGGACAGCTGACGTACCCGGGTATACCCGGCTTCACCCGGTTCAAATCTTTTGTTATCCTGAGGAAAAATCTCTTAATAGACATGCAAGGGGATACAGAGGCCGTTCATTTTCTTCGTTATTACGTTTATTTCGTTTTTATCTCTGACAATTTCTGTTTATTTTCGGGACTAAAATAACACTCGTTTATCTCAAATTCAAATATGAGTTTCAAGATTAAACCGTTGATGGCAACGTATTCCGCGAAATTGTATGAGCATTGCAATTATTATTAGCAATATGCATTTGTACTCTGTGGTTTTGATGTGAAAATTAGTAACCTATGCTATTATAATAAAGCGTAAACACACACTTCCTTGTTGCCTAAAATGTCAGCAATTACAGCATATTTTTGAATAATTCATTTTTTATTTCCCTACACATACGACATGCTTTAGGCTATATATTTTCACGACATTAAACTTAGGAAGTAAATATTTTGGACAAAAACCCTAATGTGGGAAAGAGAGCTAAGTTGCTGCCAACATCAAGAAAGCAAGATTGCTAAGGATTGTCATGTCATGTTAGTTGACATTTGCTATTGATAATTTGACAAATGTAAACAATAAAATAAAATTTTCATAATTTCATGGGGAAGAAGCCGCACGGGAAGAGCTAGTAAGAACTAATATGGAAAAGTTAATAAGATATTTGCATGATTACTAAACTAAACAATATAAAAATATCTGAGTTTAATATATAAATATCAATAATACTATTGTTTAGCAAAAAAATGATTTGAAGTTAAGGTATTTCGTTCATATCGGAGTGACCGATCTTTGGGCAAGCTGCTCCGAGCCGACACGCCCCCTAGTGGTACTCTTGAAACTTATATCTACTCCGAACTTATGTTTTATTTAATAAGTTAACGTAAATGACTTATTGAACACCTTTTTGTTGGTAGAAGGAATGAAAACTTTACCTCTATACAAGTGAAAACAATCGAATACTCTGCGAATTATATTGTTTTGTGTCGCTTTGTGTCGTGACTTTCGCTATCTCGTCGTGGATCTACCAGGAAAGAACTAGGTGGCGCTCGTGTGCTTTCGCATTTCCTCTTTCACTCCCTACTAAAGGAAATGTAGCCTTATATTATAATGTATATCACTACAATCCGTGTGAGCTATTAAAATTATAAACTACTAGCTGTCGCACGCGACTCCGTCTGCGTGAAATTAAATATTAAGTTTTTGGTTTATTTCATTATAATCAAACAAACAAGGCTTTCCTCATTTTCGTATAGATAATAAATACATAAAATAGAAGATTTAATAATTTAAAGGAATTATCAAATCAGTAAGGCCTATTATCTCTCAATATGAGTTAACAATACCAATAAGTAGATAAATAAAAATAACTTTAGCCAGTTCAACCGTCATCCAACGTATAAAGTTATCAAGTTAACTATCAGGGCCACAGGAGGGAGCCACTACGAAACCGGCAATTACTTAATCCTACAAATTAATAACGCCAATCATTCTATTAAGCTTAGTTATCACTTATAACTTAATTATTCCGAACTTTTTGTTACTACAAGTTAAGTTTGTGATTAAATTTAATACGATACAGTTAGAAATTGATATTTTTACCAGTGTGTTAAATATACCTTTTAAAACAATATTTTGTTTTATACAAGTGTTTCAGTAATATAATTTTACGATAAATTTGTCATTCATATGAAAAAGTATATAAACCAAAGTAAACCTACCTTAACATATATCTTTATTCCGTGCGCAGCATTGTAATGTATGATAATTGTAAAAGAATCGGTGTTTATAAGGAAAAGTCGGAACTAAGCCAACTGGAGCACGCGGTCAAGTCACCTTCGTACTTATGGAAGGATGCTTCTATATGCAATATAGTATGTACAATCTATACTTCTATACATAATATAATAAAGCGTAAACACACACTACTTTATGGCGGAGGATGTCAGCAATCACTGCATATTTAAATAATTATTTCTTTAATAAAAAGCCCTTCACTTACGTCATGCTTTAGGCTATACATTTTCACGCCATTTAACTTAGGAGGACATTTAACCATTTTTACATATTTTGGATAAAAACTCTAATGTGGGAAAGAGACCATAAGTTGCTGCCAACATCAAGGAAACAAGTTTGCCGAGGTTTGTAATGTCATGTCATTTTGACATTTACTATTGATAATTTGACAAATGTAAACAATGAAATAACATTTTCATAATTTTATGCCGCACGGAACAGCTAGTATAGTAAAATGTACATGTACATTACTTAAAAAGAAACAAACTGAACTCCAACTGCCCTCCCCCGCCATGTGAACCAGGCAGACAACCACTACTAGTAGTCAATAGACTATTCGTAATCATTACACTACATGTAGTCAACACACTGCATATAGGTCAATACACCACACATATTATTTTTTAGTTCAAATGGACTTTAACTGTAATCACTAAAGAACATTAACACTTCGCTTGCCTTTTAGATTTTAGCTTTTAGCTTTGAGCAGACAACTAACTTCTCTAAACACAAAGCATAAACATTTTCGCAAAAGCTTAATTCAACTTAGTTGCTCTATCATATTTTGCGGTTGTACATTTTGATGTTTTATTATAATTACAATTGCAATGGTTCATTACGTACACGATGTTATCAATAAAACCACAATAATAAATATTATACTGTAGTCAATAATACACCACAAAATATACACAATTCATATAAAATTGACCGTAATATTCACATTCGCAATATGTCACCGTCAAATTGTTGGATTCATCTGTTTTTAACCTCCGAGATATTACTTGATACAAGTGTCTTACTTAGTTTATAAAAAGTAAAGAATGTCTTAAGTGTAGAAAGTGATATAGATTGTGGTGACAAACCGCACGGACTTGCTATATTTTTTTGCGTCAAGGGATAAATTGCTGGCTTGGGAAAATATATTTAAAGTAAACCTCGCAATCTATTCCTAGGACGTGCCACAGAGTAAATAAAACACACACTACTATATAATAAATAATATTGTTTACTGAAGTCCTTAAAGTGATTCAAATGTATGTATAGTAAGTAAAGAAATATATATCCGATTAAAAATACAAATAGACATGTGATAATGATATCAATACTGCACGGGAAGCGATAAGAGCGGCCTCTACATTAATCTGCGCTGTAACCCGACCTGGGCACACAAGGCCGGCCCTAAAAGGTCACTGCCAACACAAGATCCCTTCGCGGTCCGCACGTCGCCCGCACGCTGCCCGCCACGCCAACGCATTGTAAATCCTGTTCCTTAGGTAATCCGTTAAAGGACAAGGGAACTCGTATATGTGTACATAGTCATACGTCTTATATCAAAAAAAACTGTAAGAGACAGTTACTTACACAATAGGAGATATTACGTCTGCAGATTGTTTTATGATCTTTAGAGATGATTCAATCACATCATCCTCGTTCCCTTCGTAGTGATGGCACACTATGTACTACATTACCGTAATCCGTGTATGTATATTTATTATTTTTAATTACAGCGTGTACGAGCATTCACCACATCACTGGAAGAGCTTGCCGCCCGCGTGCAGGCGGCGGAGGCGGCCCGAGCCAGCTGGCGTGCTCCGGGCGACGCGCGGGATGCCCGGGCGCAGCTGGACGCGGTGTCACGCGCGCGGGCGCAACTCCCGCCCCTGCGCCGACTGGCTGACGAGCTGCGGGCCCAGGCTCAGCATCTCGCTAGAGACAATGTACAGCTACCAGACCACTTGAGAGCACGACTTGATGACCTAAATGCAAGGTAAGGCTTATAAAATATTTTGGTTAAAGTTATGACTTCTTAAGTGATCCTGGTCAATCATAGGCACCATAGACAAAATATAAATAATGTAACACTATTCCCGATATTCAAACGTGGGCAGTTTGCGAAGACCTTGTTTTCCCCGACGCCGTGCGACCTCAATACCTGGCGAATGTCAAGCGCGCCATCTCATGCCACGCCTGTCATGTTACACACGACTTGTGAAGGTTCCGACTGCATGAATACATTCAATGGAGTTGTATTGATGAAAGATACTACTTGTTGGTTTTTTATTGAAACTAAGCTAGTGTTGTTCGATCGCTCTTTAACAACGACCATATCAACATTTTATTAAGATGAGTAATAGGCTGCCGTTGTAGTAGTCGTAAATTGGTACATAATGTTGATTTTGTATCACAATTCTACACTTAGCGTCTAATATATTTCATAACAATCTTGAGTTAGACCGAAAGATTATTTATTCCTCATTCTTAAAGAGCTATCTTATTTCGATGATCGTTTAAGGCTAAATGCAATCTTCGAACCATCATTGTTAAATATTTATATAATTATGTGTTTGCAGAGTGTCAGCGCTGAGCGCGGGCGGGGAGGAGCGCGCGCGGCAGCTGGCAGGCGTGGCGCGCGACGGGGGTGCCGGCGCCGCCCAGGGCTTCCTCGCCGGCTCCGTGCGCCCGCCCTGGGAGCGCGCGGTCACGCCCGCCAACGTGCCCTACTACATCAAGTGAGTATCAACACAGAAGACCATGATAGAAGACATATTACCATAATTTACGTCTTGTATGGAAACTTGTGTACAATGTAAACGGTACCTGTGACGTGTTTCAGTCACGAGCTGGAGACGACGCACTGGGACCATCCGAAGATGATTGAACTGATGACGTCACTGGCGGACCTCAACGAGGTTCGCTTCTCCGCGTACAGGACCGCGCTCAAGTTACGCGCCGTGCAGAAGGCACTCTGCAGTAAGTTTTACCACTAACATATGTACATTTAATGATGCACGCTGGTTATATTGTAACGTCAATACCCTGCGAAGTAATACACTCACTAACGTCAGATAAACACAAAAGATTGCTAGAGTATATGAATATCAAATCAACAAGGACAGAGTGGAGGACAATGACAAGTAAAGTGATCCTCTACGCTACCGCATACATTATCCCGCGAGCGTGATGCCGCATGAATACGCAGCTCGGCCTGAATATGCATACTGTATGCATATGCATTTCTATGGGAAACATCCAGGGTGAAGATTTTGTAGTAAGACGTTTCAAGAGTATGTACTTACAATTCCGATAAAAGTAAATAACAAATATTTAACAGATACTGGCCATTTTATTTTATTGAAAAAACAATAATTTAAATTCAAAAATCGAATTCCAAAGATTAGTCAATCACACAACTGTTGTGCGATTGTCGATTGTGTCGCAGTCAATTCAACTGTTTAGTTGCACAACTAACAATCGAGTAGTGTACCTCCATATAAACTCATAGGCATCAAAGCGGGACTAAACAGTTGTGGGATAGTTTAGTTTCAGTTCTGCGCACGTTCTTGTCGTTTGACATTTTTAGATGGCTTGAGACGTTTTGATTTATGTATTTAATATGTTGTAACTTTGTAGTGTAACTATGATAGGTAATATTATTCGTGTTGTTTCAGTGCACATGCTGCAGCTGGGCGGCGCGCTGGAGGCGTTCGACGCGCACGGGCTGCGCGCGCAGAATGACCGCCTCATCGACATCCCGGACATGATCACCGTGCTCACCTCGCTCTACGAGGTACACTCGCCGCCGCACGCGGTTGTACACTTACGAAAACTTTGACTTGCACTTTAAAATCCACCAGTAAAAACTTTTATTTAAAGTATATTAGTAGACGATGTTTTGATTAAATAAAAATAACTGTAGGTTTACCGTATTCCTGACTATTTAATAATGAAATACGTTGCTATAAAACTAACTTAAAATTATCATTTTAAGTAGCAAAAAACTAGATTTTTTACCTGAATGTACTATGGTAGAGCTCTCAATAACTTTATTATGAAATACTAGCTGTTGCCCGCGACTCTCTCCGCGTGGTATTAAAAAAAAACGAAAGTGTTCTATGTGTGTCTATGTGTTCTTCCAGAATATCTTCTACATCTAAACCAAATTTCATAGAAATCCGTTCAGCCGTTGAGGCTACAAACTCTAACAAATATTCATCCATCTAAACTTTCGCATTTATATTAGTATGATAACTTTATGTGTGTCCGTTCCCAGGTGATAGCGGCGGAGAATCCTAGTTTAGTGAACGTGCCGCTGTGCCTGGACCTGTCCGTCAACTGGCTGCTGAACGTGTACGACAGCCAGCGCACCGGACAGATCCGCGTGCTCAGCTTCAAGGTCGGCCTCGTGCTGCTCTGCAAGGGACACCTCGAGGAGAAGTACAGGTGACGCACCGACGACATACCTCACTGTACCTGCACACTGCGGCACTGACTTTTAAAAATTAATTGAACTTTTAAGAATACTCTTTAGTTGATTGTATAAAGCATGAACGTATTTGTGAGTTTATTATTAGTCGCTTCGATTTTGAGTTCAATTGGACCTTATGTCAATAGCGTTAAAAGTGTTTATGTAATGACATTGCAGATATCTGTTCCGTCTGATCGCGGACCCGTCCTGCCGCGCGGACCAGAGGAAGCTGGGCTTGCTGCTCCACGACTGTATACAGGTGTGTTATTTGAACAATTCACTGTATTCGAACACATGGGCAATATTACCTTCATCATCATCATCATCACCAGCTCACTATACGTCCCCACCGAGGGGCTCGGAGCCTACCCTAAAGTTAGGGTGACTAGGCCATAGTCAACCACGCTGGCCAAGTGCGGGTTGGTTGACTTCACACATATCTTTGAATTTCTTCGCCGATATGTGCAGGTTGCATCACGATGTTTTCCTTCACCGTAAGAACGTCGGGTAAATTATGTACATATGAAAATTCGAAAAATTGAAAATCACCATCAATCAAATATTACCTTAATAACAAACAATTGTTAATTAGAAAAAAGGGTTTTGTATGTATGTATGTATTGTGTTTTAGGTTCCGCGGCAGCTAGGCGAGGTGGCGGCCTTCGGAGGGTCCAACATCGAGCCCTCCGTGCGCAGCTGCTTCGAGCAGGCCTCCGCCGCCGCGCGCGAGGGCCACGCCGCGGGGGGCCGGGCCACGCTCGACAGGAGGACCGGTGAGACTCCTCGTACATTCAAATGGATTCAAAGTCACATGCACAAAAACTTACATAAAACATTAACCTGTATTTTATGTAACAGTGGGAGATAAGGAGCGCGAGAAAGAGAAGGAGAAGGAGAAAGAGGACAAGGAGAAGAGCGCGGGGCAGGGTGCGGGTGCGGGGCAGGGCGCGGCGGAGGGCGAGGGCGAGGGCCAGCTGCAGCACATCGAGGCGTTCCACTTCCTGCAGTGGCTGCAGAAGGAGCCGCAGAGCATGGTGTGGCTGCCGGTGCTGCAGCGGCTGGCGGCGGCCGAGCCCGCGCGCCACCAGGCCAAGTGCAACATCTGCAAGGACTACCCCATCGTCGGCTTCCGGTACCTCATACTCACTTACTATGCAATTTACACTAATTGGGAAAACTAAACATCCTCGAGTGTCTTATTTTAAGAGAAAATGTAAATTAAATAAACGGATTAAATAGTTTGCCATTATGAAGTAAAAGTAAAGTAAAATTGAAGTATCTTCTTGCGAGAAAAGAAGAAAATAGGAGTAAAAACCGTTAATATATTTTGTTTCTAAACGAGATCAATATATTTTCCAGATACCGTTGCCTGAAATGCTTCAACTTCGACATGTGCCAGAAGTGCTTCTTCAGCGGCCGCAAGGCCAAGAGCCACAAGCTGACGCACCCCATGCAGGAGTACTGCACCGCGGTCAGTGCACACACCTTACACCTGTACAGTCGGGGCACTTCGCGGTGTTCCACTTTAAGAAATGCCTTGTTCCTTGCAACTAGATAAATTCCGCCTCTTAAAAAAAATATATGTATACGATGTGATAAAAATGAAAAGCAATTTATATCATTACATGTCGTCTTAATGCGAACAATTATATACAAACAAAAGACTGGAACTATCAAAGTGACACACCGACATGTTTCCTGATGGTACAATTCAACTGTTTTGTCATTTATTATGTTTATTTCTTCTTAATATTCATCTTATTACCGTTCTATTTTCTTAAAAATGATGTTTTGTGTAATATAGACGACATCAGGCGAGGACGTGCGCGACTTCACGCGTGCTCTACGCAACAAGTTCAAGTCGGCTCGCTACTTCAAGAAGCACCCGCGCGTCGGCTACCTGCCCGTGCAGACCGTGCTCGAGGGTGAGTACCGCTACGTGCAACATGTAACGTTACGCGATACAGCGTGTGTCACAGGCGTGTGTCCGCAGGCGACGCGCTGGAGTCCCCGGCGCCGTCCCCGCAGCACGGCGGCGGCGCGGCGGCCGACGACATGCACTCCCGCCTCGAGCTGTACGCCTCGCGCCTGGCGCAGGTGGAGCTCGGCGCGCGCGCGGCCGACACGCCCGACAGGTAGCTACCGATAATACTCCGACTTCACTTGTAATCTACAAGTCCTAGGTTCCAATACCGCCATACCAATGTGACCTGTAAAGATCATGTCATCACCCTGACGTGATCATGATGTCTGCACATATCAGCGAAGAAATTCATAGACATGTGTGAACCCGCAGTGTTAGTTAAAGTTACCCCTTACTTACGGTAGGCTACTCAGTGGGTGATGATGTACTCGCTATACTGGACAATATGAAAAGCAAGCCAACCACCTAAAATAGAGGTCTTGCTCTATAATTCTCAGGAATTCTAATCTGTTACTTTTAGCTTCCATCTTTATAAAACAAGTCAATATAATATCCGTATCCGAATAAACAAATGTTTTTCAGTAAATATTTTTTCTACAATACTTAATAAATTTAGTTTACCAAGAATAAAGGCAACAATAGTTTCTTTAAGCAACATACCTAAGCCACTTAATTGTTCAAGGAGAATGCCACAATTGAAGTTTCGTCCTTGCTAGTTGTGTCATTGGATTTTAAACTTTGCATCTAGTTGCATAAGGTTGAATGTGCAATGTGCAATGTGGTGTGCACGTTCCAGCGACGAGGAGCACCAGCTGATAGCGCAGTACTGCGCGTCGCTGAACGGCGGCGAGGCGGAGGACGCGCCGCGCTCGCCCGTGCACGTCGTCTCCGGCATCCAGCGCGAGCAGCGCCACGAGCTGGAGGCCATGATACGGTACATCACATGCAGACATGCCCCCACTGACACACATTGTTACGCCTTCTGACATAAACACAGACACTATGATCTTCAATGCTCTCCAATATGTATGATATAGTATCTGATACTTTACTTGTGCACCAATTTGTAGCGAGCTGGAGGAGGAGAACGCGAGCCTGCAGGCGGAGTACGAGCGGCTGAAGGCGAAGCAGACGCCGGGCTCGACGCCGGAGGAGCCGCAGGGCGGGGCGGGGGGTGCGGGCGCGGGCGGGGACCAGGACATGATGGCGGAGGCGCGGCTGCTGCGCCAGCACAAGGGCCGGCTGGAGGCGCGCATGCACATCCTCGAGGAGCACAACCGCCAGCTCGAGGCGCAGCTGCAGCGCCTGCGCACGCTGCTGCACGAGGTACGCGCTGACTCCGCCCACAGACTCCTCCTGCTCCTTGTTCAGTGTTAAAGAAACCTCTTTGTAATCTATCTCTCTTGAAGAACACTTCCTCGCACCGTCTTTCTGCTCTATTATTATGTAAAATCTTAATATTATATAGTAACTGTGTATCTGCTTGTGTGCCAGCCGTCAGTGTCCCCGCCGGCGCGCACTGGCACGCTGCAGACGCGCTCGGTGACCGCCTCGCAGCTGGCCACCGACTCGCCCGCCAAGCTGCACAACGGACTCTACCACGACACGCACACAGGTCAGTACACACACCCTTGATCCTTCAGTCTGTTATGCAGGGATTTCTCATGCTAAATCACTAATGGAGAGTATCGACTGTAAATCCAGCAGTTAATTTGACTTTACGGAAGCAGAATTTATTTTCTTTTGAAATTTCCTTATCGAGTGATGTAAGGATCGGTTGTTTTCTCTGATAAATATCTAGTTATTATTAGTTATAATGATGTATGTGTGTACGCGGCGTGTGCGCAGGCGCGGCGCGCGGCGAGCGCGAGGAGCGCCCCCCGCCGCCGCCGCACGCGCTGCACTCGCTCATGCACTGCGCAGGTCAGCTCACTGCGCACATCACTTCGTTTCTCGTTTTCTGGCATTTGTTTTCGCATGTACAGTCGCGAAAACCCACGGTGTTATTCGTAACAGCACAGTAAAAACCTGTCTTATTGGTTTGTTTCGCATCGTCATCTCAATGTGAACAAAACATTCAAACGAATAGGTGAAACACCGCCTGATTCCCCGACTGTACATTGGCTTCAATTTTCTTTTCGTTGTTTTTATAGGTTTTTTTTTGCTGTTTCTGATTCAATTTTTTTTTTATTGCAAAGAAGGTTAACATTTGTTTTCTACAGATCTAATGTGATCAATGCGATCAATTTCATCGTTTAGAGTTCTAATAGTGTTGTTAAAAGCTTTATTTAGCTGATTGTTTATTTTATCGTTTTAGTTGTTAGCAGCTGGATTCGTTTTGTTTGATTGTTGCATGGTTGTTGTTGTTGCATGGTGTTATTGTTGTCGATATTACAGTTCATTATAATCAAAGGGTATTTTGTTTATCGCAAACCGACCAGGACGCATACCGTGAGGTAATACATTAAAAATCATGTATTTCTTTTATTTGTAACACACTAAACATAAGTAATAAACATAAATTAAAAATAAAACTACTAATTGATACAAAATATTTTCACTTTAACTCTGTTTTAACTTGTTCAATTAAAATTAACTTTAAATTTCACTTTAATATATGTAATGTGGTGATTTAGCGTGTGTAATTACAATTTTCTTTTTAATTGTACTTTTAAAAATCTATTGGCCATTTTGCAATTGTTTATTCATATTGTTTAAATGATGTTGTCAGATGACCTCGGTCGCGCGGTAGAGCAGCTAGTGTCGGTGATGTCGGAGGAGCAGGCGGGGCCGGCCGCGCCGCCGGACTACGCCAACACCAACGGCAACGCAAACAACAACAACAATAACAATGGCACCAGCAAGCCCGCAGACAGCAAGGAGTAACTGCCTGCAGCGCGCGCTCTGGCAACACCCTCACGCCACAGAGTTGCCACAATGGTATTGCTTTATCGGTTATGGCAACACGTTTCTATCCAAATACTGAAATGAATCTTAAATAATTCGATTCATAAACGCTTATAATCTGTTAGTTTGGCGTCTAAGTGTGGCATTTAAGATGATTTTAACATTTTAAATTACATTTCAGTATTCGGTCGTATTTAAAACAACTTTAACTAGTCTCTAAATCTACATTAATAGACAACTTAGAGACTAGTTAATGACTCCTGCAGTTAGTATACTAATTTTCGGCTCATCACTAACACTCGCGCACGTCTGAGTAACACCTTTATACAAGAGCACTAACACTTCATCATCATGTACTAAAAGCGGGCCCCAGCCCAAGGTCCGACCCTGAGGGCTGCCCGCGGGCCATGCGGGGCTAAGTACGCGGATACTTAGCCGCTAATGGCCAAGGGTCCGCCAGACGATACCGTATGCAACGCTTATTTTAGCAATAAGGGCGTGCCATTGTTGCACTACGCGTCGTGATTGAGTCATTCTTACTTCGCTTTACGAAACTACACTCGCGGCAACTCTCCAGTGTTGCCAGAGCGCGAATCAACGAAAAAGACAAAATGTAACCAGCATTTATATATTAAAAATGTACCAAAATTGTCTATACAACTTATTAATCGTTTAAGTACATATCTTGTTAGTACAATGTTCATATAATCATATCACTTTGTAAATTGTCATATCATTTTGCTGTGTATAAAACTGACGCGTGTAAAATATATCACGGAAACGTAACGAATCGCAAAATCGAGTTTTTTTGTCGCAATCGATACAGCTTTTGTAAGCTTTATATCAGGAATGTAGCTTTAAAATCTGTTTTGAGACATTTTATGAAAGGTTCGTAAACAAAGTTCCGGGCGACGCGGCCTGAGTTAGCAGTGTAGGGGTGGGGGGAGGGGGGAGGGGGAGGGGGTGCAGTTGTGCAGTAGTGTAGTGTAGACAATCAATGCTTGTTGTTACATGTTATCGATTTATCCAAAATGTATCGTTAGTTGGAAATATGAATAATCAAGCTTGTACGCGGCGTAGTTATTTTCTGCGCGGAAGTTCCCATCGCGATTGTCTAGCTTTCGATTTTGCTTTATTTTACTGAAGAATAGATAAAACATATCTGAAATTTTGAAACATATCAGTGTTACAATTTTTATGATAATTTGCAAATGTTTGAAATTGAATTTTAATACGGTTGAGTTGATTTTTATAATGGCAATAATGCGATGGGAACTCTCTTTAATCTCCCTTTATTTGGGATCTGAAGTAGTAAATCTTTTTAGCGACTACATATATCGACATTTTGTATCCGCCATGTCTCGTAGGGTATTTAACGGACGCGAGCATTTTCATGTCGCGGTTCGTTTTCAGACGTTTTGTAAGTTGTCTACTGTAAGGCGCCTACCTTTTAGATAAAATATTGGAGAGATGACTTTTATACGAATGTTAAGTGAACTGTTGAAGCTAACTATATTATTAAGGACTTCCGATTTAACCATACCAGGTTATTATTTTATATTTTATTGACGTGTGCAGACATTTTGTTTTTTTGTAAAGCAAGAGGCAGCACGAAATGTTTGTGACGACGGCAACTATATACTTGTTCTTATTTTAATTTATCTAATATAGATTTTAAGAAAAAAGCACAATTTATTGTAACCTTAACGAATGAAATATTATAATTAAATTTACATTAATTATATTGTTATTAATTTTATTTTACTTGTTTAACGTAGGATTTAGTTTTTTTTGTTTCAAAATTATTTTAAACGATACTTATTGCAACTATATTAAAATATACCTACTTTCGCATTTATTTGTATATTTTACTGCGTTTATAATATTTTAGAAGATATCCAAATAAACATTCTGCATAGTTATGATCTGTGACGTTTTATTTTCCTTAACACTATGGTCCAGTTTTTCAACTGAGTTTTGACTAGGCTATAAATGGTTTTAACCTAGCCTAAGAATATTAGAACCTTGGCGTAATGTTGTAAAAAAATCCACAGTATTTTTTTTAATGATTGACTTTTTTATAATAATCCCTGCATAAGCGACACGCTTTAAGCTATTATTATTGTTATCGTCAATTTATCTCAAGAATCGTTACCTCCCCGAATATTAAATAACTTACAAAGATAAAGGGTCTAAAAGGCCTAACTTGATTACAATGAATAGCAACACTTGTTTTTATTTTTAATAACCCCTATTGGCAATTAATTTAAATGTCGATCTCGATATGTGGTTTTGAGGGATTTATTAATAGATGGCGGTAGTGAGTATGTGAAAATTATCAAATATGCCTCCTCTGTATATTTTTAAATCTCTTTGTCATCACCGCTATCTATTGATAGATCCTCAAAACTGCGAATTGTATTTAAATTAATCACCAATAGATGTCATTAAATAATGTAAAGAAGTCATCATTATCATCACCAACCAGCTCACTATACGTCCCTACCGAGGGGCTCGGAGCCTACCCTAAAGTTAGGGTGACTAGGCCATAGTCAAACCACGCTGGCCCACTGCGGGTTCTTCGCCGATATGTGCAGGTTGCATCTCAATGTTATCCTTCACAGTAAGAACGTCGGGTAAATTATGTACATATGAAAATTCGAAAAATTGAAAATCACATTGGCACATGGCGGGATTCGAACCCAAGACCTGTAGATTACATATCAAGTGCTTAAACCACTGAGCCACCGACGCTCATAAGTAAATAATATAAGTAAAGTAAAACAACAAAATAGTATTATTATTTTATTTGGTTAACCACAATAATTACAAGTACATAAAATTCCCGCTTTTCATATACTAAACATTACTTTGCACTTTTACCATACTTATGGATAATTGTTTGCACAAAATCCAAAGTTTAAGCATTTTTGACTCATAGAATAATCTTTGAAACAAAAACACTATCAGGAACAATGGTTTTGAAAACTTAAAATAAAAGTAAACTATAATTAAAATATACAAGAATAATAATTAACCAATAGATATATCAACCAATCCCAACACAGGCTATAAAGCCATAGTTTGAGATTACACTCGTTTTAAACTATTAAATGTTTAAAAATGGCAGTACATAAAATATTTATGTAGAAAACAGGAAAAGTTTAACATTATTAGAAATACTTATGTATTTTATTTTTTCTCCATTCACAATTATAAAGGCAAAAATTATCTCATTAACTTTGGGTTAAAATAAAACTTTGGATTTGGCAAATTATAAATAAAGAATAAAACAGCAATTTCTGGAACAAAACATTGAGGGATTACATACAGAAAACAGCAAAAATAGCAACACAAAAAGTGAGGCGTTTTTACGCCTTACTTTTCATTACGACTTGTTGCGCTTTACTTTTTGCGACGTGTTGCGCCACACTTAGTACGACTCATTGCGCCTCACCTTGTCAAACTAGCTAGTTCAACATTACTATAAATATTTATACTATGTTTAAAACAGAGACAATTATGTTGATGTTGCAATATTGAGGCGCAACAAAACATTTATTTTAATGATCCAAAATATAAGATACTGTTTGAAAAACAGTTGTTATTTATTATCCTGATTTTTTTTTACATTTTCAGGGCAAAAACAGTTAATAATAACATTGTGAATTAAAAAAACTTCATAACATATATTTCTAAGTATTGTTACATAAGAAATTTGCATGCATAATTATTATAAATGTGAATGTTGCTGCAATCCAAGAATATGTAAATTCCTAGAAAGACAAATGAAGAAACAGCTTTCATATTAAAATAAAAACTACAGAATCACATATTTTATCAGCTTAATTAGATTATGTATGTCTATTTACCCAAGGATAGCCAGGGTGTGTCAATTACAAATATAAAATATAAAATTTAGCCATAGCCAACACTGCAATATAGCTTTTAAGTTGAAGACTAAATACTTTTTAAACTATTAGGTCAAAATGCATAACTTTAAGTATAAATTAAATAATAATATTGCATAAACAAGATTAGCAACATTTGATAATAAAAATATCTTAGTTATCAAATTAAACACATTATCAGTATGACCTAGAAAGAATTATACTCGAACAGTAGCAGAATTACCTCCTATACCGTTCATTACATTCTGTATATTAGACTTAGGTCTTCTAAAGAGTAGGACATGGGGTTCAGGGTTGTGGACCATGAAGTGCAGCCAGCCGGGGCTCTGCTGCACCCCTAGGTTGCGCCACTCTGTCTCCGTCATGAGGTGGGACTTTGGCACCAGTCTGGCGAGATCAGGTGGCAAGATCACATGTCTGAAATGGTGTTAACACTTTAATAGTGGTATTTCAGCAAAGGATACATTTACAAAAGAAATTGATTGTTTGAAATGTCTGTAATATAGACCCCATAGATGTACCAAACAATTCCAAAGTAAATTTTTAACAAACTAATTGTAAGAAAACCAAAACATAATGACTTTAAAAAAAGCTGATGAAATGTTTACGCAATGACAATAATGCATTGCTATGCACCTACAATAATTTTTAAAGCAATAACGGTAATAATGGTAACGGTAACCTAAATAACGGTAATAGCAGTAAGCTTCTTGCAGTGGTTTCTACATAAAACAAAACAATATATAGAAAACTTTCAAGTTAGAAACAGTGAAATGTTTCAAAAGCCTCAATGCTGTATGCTTTAATGAATGTGAATGGCTTTCTACGAGAAAATTAAAGTGTCTAGTCTAATCTATGTTTTTAAAAAACATTTTAAAATATACAATACAAGTTATTAATCAATTACACAGACAATATATGCTCGACCATCTTAAACATATGTTTACAATAAGAAGATGAAAATCTGCCACAAAACTCAAACACAGAGGTATTGGAAACAAAATGGTTGTTCTATCGATAGGTAAGAATATCTATAATTAAAAATATAGTACAATAGATAGATATAAAAGAAAGAAAAACATAATCGAAAATTTTCTTACCGATACTCATAAACGTCATCACTGTATCTTTCCGAGTATTGTATTTGATCTACTGGCATCTTTAAAATATTTAAATAACACTATCTTATGCAAAAAAGATTCAATTTAAACTGTACAATTTTCTGATAAGAATAAATATGCTTTTGAATTAGGAAAAAATCAATGCACACAACCAATTCTTAACCGTTCGCTCAGCTGAATTCTGTCAATTTTGACATATCGTTTTTACGAAACATATGACAACTGTTCAAAAACCAAGTATTAGTGGACCTTAATTTAAAATGAACCATGCTTTCTTGTAATAAAAATCTTAATTTATTACCTATTTATCATATTATGATGTCCGATTGTAAAACACAAACATTAATTAAGAAATAAATACATACAACCGAAATCTTTGGCATATTTCACCCATTTTTAAACAAAAGATGTAAATAGTTTTCGAATGTACTTTCCAGTTGGAGGGAATTTTTGGAAGGCACAGTGATATTTTCGACACATCGATTTTTAATCGATTTCTTTTTGCTAGATGCAAGAGAAAAAATGAAGGATTTCTTGCCCATTCAAAAGCCGTCGTTTAACGTCGAATCCAGGAATTAACCAAAATCGTGGTAAAGTAATCCACTTTCGACGTGCTAAACGATGTTTGTTGTGGATTGATAAGGAGGTTGTTACTTAGCTATTTTATAGAAAAAAAAATTGCGCTGTTACTAAATGTTACGCAAGGGGGAAGAGCAAAACCATTGACGTCGTCATTACCTAGGGGGTCATTATTCAATCAGTGCGACCCCACACCACAGCAATTCAATAATGCTTCCCCGGCTTACGGGGCCCAAAAGCTATGCCTTGTTTTAGGACATACTTTTTATTCCTGAAAAAAGTTAATAAAACCACTTAACGTACGTTTACGTACATGATTGACGATTATGTGATTGGTTGCGAATAATTTGGCGTGGGATTTAATAGTCTTTCGTATGATGATTTCAAACAATATTACCATAAGATGAGAATTAAATAGCACTAGTGTTACTTATTATCAATCTATCTGAACATTCAAGGTTGCTAAAATATTTGAATGTGAACTTTGTCCGAAGACTTGGAGCAAGTTTGGTCTCAGCCTGTATCAATTGCCGATAATGAGAACTGGTAATACATTCCCTCTGTGAGCCGGCCCCAGGTCCTTCAGTTGGAGTCCTCGATTCCTCTGCAGCTGTTGTAAGCCAGTCATGAGCACGATCACGCTCGAATTCCTACAAAATCTCCTTAAAGAAGACTATCCCGATGTAGACATCCAAGAATTTGAGGTATGTATACTGAATCATCCACACTATCTATCCTTGCCTCTATCGGAGTCCTTTCTAAATAGATTACATTCGATCTTTTTACTCTTTATGATTCCATTTATCCCAGGGTGCGCCAGGGTCAAATAGAGGGGACAACTACACCTCGATGGTTTACCGAATTTCACTAAAAGGAATTAAAAAGAAAGAAGAAGAATCCGAAAAATGGGAAGGTTCTATAATCTACAAATGTCTACCAGAGAGCGTTTTAAGAAGAGAAGCGTTTAAAAGTGACGAGCTTTTCTGTAACGAAGTGGCATTTTATAATAAAATCTGGCCTACCTTAGCCAAGTTTGAATCACAATGGGATAAAGTCACCCATCCATTTAAATCCATACCTAAATGCTATCTAGCTCAGAGTGACATGGTGATCCTGAAAGACCTGAAGCAACTGGGATTCGTGATGCCAGATCGAAGGCAAGGCTTGACTATCGAGCAATGCTACTTCGTTCTGAAACATTTATCACATTTCCACGCTCTATCAATGGCGATGAAATGTCATAATCCGGAAGGGTTCTACGAATTACTGAACATGCAGGATGGCATCTCTGAAGGTAAGTCATCAACGTAATTCTTATTTATAGATATAACTTTTTAAACAGAGAAGGGGGGCAAACTTGTGGCGATAACACCGGGGTAACCATCGAGTTTAGAGGTACGGATAATTTACAGTAGTCTTGCAACTAGGAACATGTTTTTCATATTCATTGAACAAAATACAGGCATTTCAGCTTGCATACCTTTTAAAATTATTCTTATCTATTAAAATGTCTTTACCAGTATTCTTTGTACCGGAAAACGTGGATTACTACAGAAGTTACTACACAGAGGCAATTCAGAACGCAATAGCGATGGTGGAAGAGGAATTACATGATTCCGCAAACAAGGAACTGTATTTAAAGAAATTCCGTGAGTTCGGCAGCGAGGAGACATTCTTCAAGACAATGATGGACCTAGCGGCGCCGCAAGAACCACTCGCCGTCATCTGTCATGGCGACTGTTGGACTAATAATCTGCTCTTCCGCTTCGTCAATGGCGATATCGCTGAGGTATTTAAGCTGAACACTTAGAGTGCGCGCACATCTTTGATTAAACTAACATACAACTGTTAAATCTTGTTTTGATTCCTATCTTATTCTTATTAATAGTATAAATGCGAAAGTTTAGATGGATGGATATATGTTTGTTAGCGTTTGTAGCCCAAAACGGCTAAACGGATCTCCATGAAATTTGGCACAGGTTTGGAGCATAGTCTGGAAGAACACATAGGCTACTTTTTAGCCCTGAAATAGTTACGGTTCCCGTGGGATTCACTGATTTAGTTTTTTAATGTTTACTCGATCATTCTGCAACGGTTCAACATATTTTATTGAAATTTGGCACAGACATAAAACAAAGTCTGGAGTACACATGGGATAAGCTTCATACCCGAGAAGTGTCCGCTTCCCGAGGGATACGTAGCTTTTTGTAATTTATATAGTTTATATGTTTTCTAATACCACGCAGACGAAGTCGCGGGCAACAGCTTGTGGGCTATAAAGGCGAACACTACTCTATTTTTAGGTGTGCATCTAAACAGTTGAATTGGCTACTAAACAATCGACAATCGCACAACAGTTGTGCGTTACTTTAGCTAAAGGGGTGTATCTCTATTAATATCATGTAACGTTATGTAAAAACAATTTGTATAGTAACCGTAAAGTAAATTACTTAAGACGAAAGAGACCATGAATGCTGTAAAGCTGGATGAATGAATGATGTGACTTTCCAGATGTACATAGTGGACTTCCAGCTGGCGCGGTACGCGTCGCCGGCGCTGGACCTGGTGTACGTGATGTACCTGTGCCTGGGCCGCGAGCAGCGCGCCGCGCACCTGCCCGCGCTGCTCGACTACTACACGGACGAGCTGCACGCGCGCCTCGCCCACATGAGCGACGACCACTCCGCCTTCCACACCACGCTCAATAGAGACGCCCTCTTCCAAATGTTAGTCATCTAGGGGGGTGCAGGCCGATGATTAATGGGGACTAGTAGCAAAATGCTTTTTTTTTTTAATGAGAATTCTTCACAAATTTGCCCTTATACTGTTATCTAGGTTTCTTTGTGACTTTTGTTGGTCTAACAATTGACTAATTTGTCAGGGTGCAAGATGAGTTCAAACGCTGCAGTCCATTCGGTCTGGGCATCGCTCTGGACATGTACCCCATCATGACTTGCGACAGCGATGAAGCTCCTAACCTTTATCAGACGAAAGTAAGTTTATTAGGAGTAGATTTCATTTTCATTCAGGCATTTCTGTAAAGCAAAGGTTTCAAGAGATATATGTTCCAGGAGAGTGAGGTTAGCTCGCACGACTGCGTGCGGCCGGTGTGGACCTCCAACGCAATCTGCAGGAAGAAGATGACGGACCTCGTGCAGGAGTTGGTGGACGGAGACCTGCTATAATTTATACGTTATTGTTGTATATTTATTTATTTACTGTGATTATTGGATAATAAACAATAATTTATTAGTAATTCTTTTATTTAATACTACCTTTTGCCCCCGACTCCGTCCGCATGGAATTAAAAAAAGTAGGTGTTCTTCCGCACTACGTTCTACATCCGTGCCAAATTTCTTCGATATCTGTTTAGACTACAACTCTAACATCCATCCATCCATCTAAACTTTCACATTCATAATATTCTTAATAAATTATTATTATTATTTATGACAAGTGTGAAGTAGGAAGTATGTTAATAGTTGGAATTTAACTGTCAATTATTTTATGTTTTTTCTGAAGGGAAAGTAAATAAAAGCACAATTATGTGTAGTATAAAATTGTATTGTATATTGTTTAGTAAATAAACAGATACAACAAGAGATTGGTGTTAAAACTTACGTTTATATAAATTTTACTTTAACATGCGATCTAAATATATTTTGTGACGAGACATTTTATTACGAATAACTATTTATAAGATATATCAGATCTTTTCTAACGTAAAAAACTATTTTATAATTAAATTTATGATTTTTAGAATATCTATTTACTCAAACGTTGCTGGTTTTGTTCTTATATTTTATAATGAATATAATAATAGCACATTTTACCCTAGAATGTGGGAAAATTGTTTATCGTTAGTAACATAAAAAATATAAGTTTACCCGTACATAATCGTGGCACAATAATTTAAAAACGTGTAAAGCTTATTAATTTATATCAATGATATTCTTATAAAGTATAAATAGCGTACGGGCCAAATTTGTAGACTACAGTTGTTTTTTTTATTAAAATATTTGATTCTATGATAACAGATCTATTCCATTATAATATTAAAATAAATCAGTCATTGAAAACTTCAGATTATTTTGTTTAACTTTGAGATTCTAGTAGCACCTTTATCTGAAGATTCCAATAATGTTTTTTGTTTTTAATTTATCGGTTAATATTTTTTTCTTTAATACTTTCTGACTTCATACAACGAGGAGTAATAAACAGTTCCTGTACAAAGTTCAATTTGGTTCACTTGACACTGGCTCTGACACTGGGTTGTGACGTCACTCCGGGAGCCCCTCTCCCCTTCGAGGCCTGCGTGGGCCTCATGAAGCCCGACGTCCTCGGCACCGTCTTGACGGGGGGTCTTG